CACCCCCCACCCCCCACAAAACAATCTTTACCTTCCCCTCAAGCACTCCAAACTAAAGAACATATGAAAGCACTGCATAAACGCAAATATTTCAAGAAAGCACCAATTTTGCACGCAAATAATATCATCAAAGCTACACACTATAACAACCTTAAAATAACTAAACTTAATTATATGATTATCAATGAACAAAGACGTGTGAATAATTAATCACGATGGTACCTGAATGTAGCAGAGAAAGAGAGATCGAAAGACTTCATATTCGAATCAGTGGAGACATCGAACTTCAGAAGGAAATCTTATCTTAATTTTAAATAATATATCGTCTGTAGCCTTCTCGTCCCAAGTCGCAACTTTGCTTTCTCAATCCTTCTTGTCTACGATAGTATCAAAGGCAGAAAAGAAACAATCGACGGATTAGGCACCATTAGCAGGGGATTCCAAAGGCCAGCAAGAACTCAACGATGGGAGCAAAGTGAAGGAGACCTAGAAGAATTATATCACGGGAGCCGCCGTTGTGGGTATAATTTGTTTCGTTTCACGTATTTAAAAGTTAGACATTAGGTTAAAGTTTCCTTCTTTAATTGTAATTGTCGGTAATTGCTTATTAATATTGCAACATTTAAATCAAAATGTCCTAATTTTCTCACATTTGTTATCAAATGTCATTATGTTAGCAACATTTTTTAATAAATGTCACAAAAGTAATTAATTTCAAACATTTATTGTAAATGTCACCAAATAAATGTGGCCGTAGCCCTTATTTCTTATAGTGATTTGTAAAGACACACAATATTATTGGAATACATTGATTTACTTTGCTTTCTTTTATTCGGCTATCATTCATTTCGATTCTTCTTATTTGTTCTAAATTTGATTATCAGTAACCCGAGTTCTTCTAAAAAATAAGATTTGACCCGAATTTCCTATTTTCTGGTTAAACAAATTGGTTCCGTTATTATGATAATCTATTACTTTCTGAATCGAATTTTTCGTCAAATCAATCATGTCGAATGTCAATTTCAACAATCAAGGAGACCATCAACAACAGGAGAATCTGCAAGGCGGTGGAACTCCGGTCCCTTCCCCATGAAATTCTCCTCGACAATCTCGAGAAGGAACTCCTGATGGGTCTCGGTCAAATGTGAATGATCAATTTGAAAATGATGAAGCTATTAATGAAGCTTTGAAAAAGTTAATCGCTCAGCAGGTCAGCAATGCTCTTGAGGCCGTCGCTAACCAGCTGCCAACCGTGCCTCCAACATCAACTCTAAACAACAACACCTTAAAATATCCTCGCTCAAGACTCGTTAACTCGGGCAGTGGAGGAACTCCTAGCGAATCCCGTGATGGAGGGTACGGTAACCCAGTTAATTCTGATTTACAAAATTTAGTACTAACTTTGCAGAAACAGCTCAAGGAGCAGAGAGACCGCATAGCAAATACCTGGAGTGCCGCCTGTAATCAAGTGAATAGATATGGACAAGTACTCACAACAACCTTGGAAGCTGAGTGCTGCTCCCCTTCCGATTCCGAAGAAATTCAAGATGCCCGATATTCCAAAATATGATGGAACAACTGATCCAAGGGATCACGTAACTGCATTCACAACCGGAGTAAAAGGCAATGACTTGACCAAGCAGGAAATTGAATCAGTACTGTTCAAGAAATTCGGAGAAACACTCACTAAGGGAGCATTAACGTGGTATTCTTTTTTACCCGAAAATTCTATAGATTCTTTTGCTGAACTTGCAGATTCATTCATCAAAGCACACTCGGGAGCTCAAAAAGTTGAGAAAAGAATGGAGGACATTTTCAAAATAAAGGAAGGGGATACAGAGCTGCTCAGGGAATTCGTGGACAGATTCCAGCGTGAGAGGATGATGTTGCCACGTGTACCAGATAACTGGGCAGCTATGGCATTTGCCAACAACCTAAATGTAAAAAGTTCAGAAGCCACTAGGAGACTCAAGGAAAGTCTACGTGAATTTCTAGCAACAACTTGGAATGATGTTTATAACAGATATAGCACGAAGCTGCGGATAGAAGAAGATACCATCATTCAATCCCGAAGGGATGAAAGGGTAAGTTCAAGGCGAGCTGAAACTAAAAAAAAGGTCCGGAAAGAACAGGTATGAGCCATACATAGGACCNCGATCTATGGGTTTCTAAGCGTGTTTCTCCACCTTTGTATGGTTCTCTTCGAAACCCTAATTTCTTTTTCTAAACCTCTTAGATTTGTACAGATCCGAGGTGATTTGGGCTTGTTTTATGTGAGTCTTACAATAACCTTAAGATTCTTTACAAGAATCGTATGATTTTCATCTTTTTCTAAACTAGAGTTTCCGGAATTTCTTTTTACAAATTGTTTGATGACTTTTTGTGTTTAGTCTTCTACTTCTCATATGTTTTAACTGATTTTGTAAATCTTCTACAACCTTAGCGTGCCTATACTGAAAGCCTTAATTTTTTGGGGTTCTTCGTTTGGTTTTTGAGTATTGGTACACCTAGTCGTGTTCTTGCTTTGGGTTCTTGTGATTTCTCGTGATTTTATTGTCCTAATATGCTTCTACTGAATTTCATAGTTCAATCGTTTCACTGATTTTCTATGCTTGTGTTCATCCTGATTATTCGTGTTAAGACCTGTAACATTCTCATTGAATCAGTGCCGTTCTAACTATTTATTTTGTTAAAGTTATGTGAAACCCTGACTATTCATGTTCTGCCTCATTTTATATGCTAAACATGCTGACTCTTCCATGACTTTCTCTTTGATTGTTCTGAATTCCTTATTTCTTGGTTTGATTAGAACGCTTTCCCTTAAACTTTCAATTCTTACTTCTCTACTCGTTTAAACTTTCAATTCTTACTTCTCTACTCGATTTGATTGAATTGCTTGCCTTAATTATTTTTTCCTTGCCTTGTTTGTATTTTGCCGATTCTTACCGATTTGTTTCCTTAATTAAAACTTTTGTTCATTTATCCCTAATTACCTACTATATACCCAAACCTTTCTTGATTCTTTTCCTTAAATATTTAGCATGCTTTTACCGTTGATTTAATTGTCCCTTGATTAAGAGAAAGACTTGCTGATTTACTTATGACTTCCCTGATTTTCTACTTAATTGATGTCTTACCTTATTTGTTAAGATTTTGATTACTATATAAACCCCTCTTATTTTTAAGTTCTAGACGGAAATTAGTTAAATTACTACTCCTTACACTCTAAAAGTTCTCTTTCTCTTCTGCTACTTGTGATACTCACTGATCTAGTCGGCTGAAAGCCAAGACTAGATATTGAAACTTTATTGGCTTTATATTCTGCACCCTTTTCTTCAACTGGTATGTCTCTATGTTAAGTTTTGAAATCCAAACCCTATATGTTTCATTCCTGCACTAGTTCATCAGTTATGAATTCAACTTGCATTTCTGCTTACTTCTTTGCTCAGCATGTCTAGACTCTGTCCTATTCAATGTGTGCTTTATATTCTGCACTCTTTCCTGCTTACTTTTTACATAGCATGTTTAATCTTGTTCGAGACATGTCTTGCTTGCTGTATCACAACTATTATCTATTTCCTAACTGCTAAGATCCTAAGTGTTACATGCAGTTTGTGACTATATGTTTCCTCCATACCCTATCCCTGCCCCCTAATGTGACTCTTATGTGCCACAATCCCTTTGTCCCCATGTGAGATTTGCTTGTTAAGTTTTCTTTTCTGAATCTAGATGTCTCTTTTGACCAATTGATTGTCTGCTGTTTTGGTACTCTTCTCAAACTATCTTTTACCACCCAGTTGTTTCCTGCTTCTGGAAAAAAAACTTATCTACTTCTAAAGTCATCTCTGTGCTATTTTCAAAACAAAACTATGTCAAGCACACTCACTTTACTCTTAGGATACTAGGTTCTGCCCCTTTGACATGTGTACTGCCTTGAGACCCTTGAGATCTCTCTGAACTCTGGCATGTCAGAGCTGGCCTTTCCATACTGCACCTAAATCAGTTATTGTTTGGGAAAAGGTCTAGGTGTGAGCACTGCCCAGGATCCTTGAGGTTCTTTGGGAACTCTGACACACCTAGACATGATACTATCTGTGGAACTTTGGCATTTGAGGCTATTGGAGGCTTGGAAGTCATTTGGGCCTACTGCAAGCTCCCTATAGATTAACTGCTGTTTATTTATGTCTTTTTGTTTAATCCATTGGACTGTAATAATTATTGTAAACAACATTGGGGTGATTAGTGAAAAGGGGTGGGTAGTCATATATATGTTGGGAAAAATTGGGTAGATATCATGCCTATAGGGTTGTGTTAATTCAAATGTGTTTGCCATGTTTGCTTTTCCACTACAGTATTAGAAATCATGCCTATAGGGTCTAAATGACATTAATAATAAGATCATGTCTATAGGATTAAATCATCCTTATAATTAGATATCATGCCTATAAGGTGTAAAGTAATTGATGTTCATGTTTTGTTACAGCATGTATTAAGACTCGCAATCTTAGAAGTCATGCCTACAGAACATAAAATCAGTTTAGTTGAATAAATCAGTTTAATTCATGTTTGTTCATTCTGAACTGGTTTATTTAATCTATCGCCTCTTTAATGAGTTTTTCAAACATTGGCTTAAGTTAATGCCGCTAGAAAGCATGTCTATAGGATCTCAAGTTGTTCGTTTAAAAAATTGTTCACTATTTTACTAATCAATATAGATATCATGCTCATAGGACATCACTGTTATGCGTTTAGGCAAGCCTATAAGGCGATTAAACTCTGTAACTATGAAATTGCGCTTTGTTATTTAAAACTACTCGTATTCACATGTTTAAAATCAGTAGGCAAGCTAATAGGTCTTTGACGCTTGGCCCTAATTCATGCCGTATAATTCCGGCTTACCTAGATATCATGTTCTATGTTTATTAAGTACCTGAAACAATTGTCTTAGATGTGCATGATTCATTTGTTTCATTCCATGCTTGATCAAGATAAAAACGAGGTAAATTACAATAATTTAACGTGGGATTGGAGAAATGAAATTGTCAATTTTTTGCAGTATGGAATACTTCCTGAAGATAAGAAAAAAGCTCAGGCACTTCGCCAAAAGGCAGCCCGTTACTGTTTAAACAAGATAATTTATATCGTAAGATGTCTCGGACCTTCTCAAATAGAATACGTGATGAGAGAAATACACGAGGGACATTGTGAAAATCATGCAGGAGAAAGATCTTTGGTAAAAACCATGATTAGAGCCGGTTATTATTGGCCAAAAATAGAAGAAGACGGAAAATTTTGTGGCAAAATGTGACAAGTGCCAAAGGTATGGTAACAATATGCATCGACCAGCTGAATAATTACATGCAGTCGTTGCACCATGGCCATTTATGAAGTGGGGGATGGATATCTTAGGACCACTACCACAAGCCAAAGGCAAGGTAAGATTTTTATTAGTACTCACTGACTATTTTACTAAGTGGGTAGAAGCGGGAGCTTTCAAATAGGTAAGATAAAAAGAGGTCAGAGACTTCATCTGGCGGAACATCATATGCCGATTCGGGGTGCCA